AGCTTCAGCTGTGGATAATACAGCTGTGTTTTGCTTCTTGGAACCCCAAGAAACTAAACAAGGTCCTAAAAACTGTACCATACCTGAAGTGCTTTTTCTATTAACCAAGTTACCTGCATAGTCAGCATAAGTAAAGCCATTTAAATCAAAATAATCACTTCTAAGATAGAAGAGACTCAAGTCATCAGTTCCTTCCAAGTACCGAAGGATTCTCTTTACTGCTATCAAGTGGGATTCCTTTGGATTTTCTTGGAACCTGGCACATAGTTCTACACTAAAAGCTATGTCAGGTCTACGAGTTGTTAAATAAAATAGAGATCCAATCATACCTCGATACATAGTTTGGTCTATGCAAGTTCTAATTGGATCCTCATCCAACCTAGTTCCAATGCTTATAGGAGTCTTGTTGGTTTTTGCATTATCCATCTTGTATTTCTTGATCAGTTCCTTGATATATTTTTGCTAACGGATCATGATTCCTTGTTTAGTTTGTTTAATTTGCAAACCGAGGAAGAAGTTTAATTCCCCCATCATACTCATTTCAAATTCTCCACTCATTAGGTCAGCAAAATACGTGCACAAAGATTCATTAGTTGCACCAAATAAAATATCATCAATATAAATCTGTACAACTAAGATATCAGTTCCATTTGATTTTAAAAACAAAGTTTTATCAATTTTACCACATTAAAACCATTTTTCAAAAGAAACTTTGATAATCTTTCATACCATGCTCTAGGAGCTTGCTTCAATCCATAAAGAGCTTTGTCAAGCTTATAGACATGTTTTGGGAACTCTGGATTCTCAAATCTAGGAGACTATTCAACATAGACATCCTCAACAAGAAATCTATTTAAAAATGCACATTTAACATCCATCTGGTACAGCCTAAATCCCATTTAAGCAGCAAAAGCAATAAGTAAGCGTATAGCCTCTAACCTGGCTATAGGAGCAAATGTTTCTTCATAGTCGATTCCTTCTTGTTGATTCAAACCTTGTACAACAAGTCTAGCCTTGTTTCTGACAATAGTACCATGCTCATATAGCTTGATCCTAAACACCCATTTTAATCTAACTGTCTTCTTCTATTTAGGTCTAGGTTCCTGATGCCAAACTTTGTTCCTTTCAAACTCATTAAGTTTATCTTTCATAGCATTAATCAAGTCAGTGTCAGTTAAAGCTTCAACATACTTCTTAGGTTCCATAGTTGAAAGGAACGCATAGAATGCACAGAAGTTCCTAAGTTGAGATCTGGTCTGAGTTCCTTTTGTGATATCGCTCATGATTGCATCCACTTGATGTGACTTCTGATGTTTCCAAGGTTTTTGTGTGAAGTCTTTGATTGGATATAGTCTTTATTCATTGTTGTTGACTGGTTCTTCAGTAGGAACTTCAACTTGATTCTTAGTTTGAACTTCTTCAGGAACTTCCTCATTTACTTCATTCTGTTCTTGGTTTTGAGGAGTTCCTGTTGCATTCTCAATGTAGGTGCTTTATTTGCTTCTGTATTTGCTTTAGTTTCAACCTGATACTTTTGCAATAATGTTGATTCCTCATCTAGATCCTACTTGCGTACAAGTCCAATTTCAAAATCATCATCACAATCTTGTACATATATTCAGTTTCATCAAATATCACGTGTACAGATTCCTCAACACACATTGTTCTCTTAGTATAAACTCTATAGGCTTTACTATTTGAGGCATATCCTAAGAAAACTATCTCATCACTCCGCTCATCAAACTTTCCCAAGTTCCTTTTACCATTATTATGAACACAGCATTTACAACCAAAAGATCTAAAGTAAGAAATGTTAGGTTTTCTCCCTATAATAAGTTCATAGGGAGTTTTGTTAGTGATTGCTCTAACAGATACTTTGTTGAGGACGTAACATGTTGTGTTCACTATTCTGCCTAGAAATCATCAAACTTAGAAATTTCAAATTTTGTACCATGGTCTTATTTGAGATGTACTAATGGATTACTTGTTCTTCTCTGTTCTTTCTTTACAAAAGCAAAAAACTCATTAAGTGTTTCATCTTAACTAGCAAGAAAGAATACCCAAGTATACCTTGAATAATCATTAACAATAACCATAACATATCTCTTACCATTTCTACTTTGGATTCTCATTGGACCACAGAGATACATATGAGTAAGTTTCAAAGGTCTTTTGGTACTTACAATCTTTTTGGACTTAAAGGAAATTCGAGTCTGTTTTTCTCTAACATAAGCATCACATACTTTATCATATAGGATCTTGTGCAAGGAAGTCCTTCGACCAATTTATTTGATCTCATTTTATCAAATAAAGTAAAACTAGCATGACCAAACCTTTTATGCAATAATAGAGGATCATCCTCAATAACACTAAGACATGTCAAACTGCTGTTAGGAACCTCGTTGAGATCATAACATATGTGTTCCCTTTGCGAGTTCCTTCTAGGATTATGTTCCTAGTGTCATTGTGGGTGATTTTACACTTATTGGTGGTAAATCTTATAGAGTTACCTCTATCACAAAATTGGTAAATACTTAGCAAGTTGTGTTTCAAACCCTCGACCAAAAATACATTGTCAATATCATGGGAACTTGACCTTCCTACTTTTCCAATAGCAACAATATCTCCTTTCATGTTATCACCAAAGGTCACAGTCCCACCATAATTGGCATCCAGTGAGAGAAATCTAGATTTGTCTCCAGTAATGTGCTTTGAACAACCACTGTTAAGGTACCAAGTGTTGTTCCTCCTCACTGGATCCTGCATAAAGAATCAAACGTTAGTGTTAGGAACCCAGGTTTCCTTAGGTTCCTGTGTAACAAGAATGGGGTTATCTTTCACAATCCAAATTTATCCTACATGTTTCTCATTCTACTTAGTGCTTTTCTCTTTCTTAGGACACTTAACCTGCTTGTGTCCTATATTTCCACAGAAATAGCAAACAATATTACTTGACAGATCTATATACTTCTTTTCCTTTAGGAACTTCTTTTTAACGCCTAGTCCTTCTGTTCTTTTTGTCTGAGCTTTAACAATCTAGTTTGGAACTTTGTATTCTATGGATTTCTTACCTTTCCTAGCTCTCTCAAGTTCCCTCTCAAGTCTTGCCTTATCCGTTTTTAGATCGTCTAAATCAGATTTTAATTTTTCAAAACTCGGATAATGCATGAATGGAGGGACTTAAGAGTCAAGAGTGTCAACACTAAGTTTTAACAAAGATAATTATACATTCAAAAGTATGTTATCATGTTTCAGTTTTTCTAAAGTTTCTTTTAGGACAACATTGTCATCAAAGAGACTAAAGAACCTGTATTGAATATCAAATTTCATATTGCTTACCCATTAACTTTTTTCCTTGTAAGTTATCAAAGCGTTATCCCTTTGCCGTTTTGCTCTATGTAATTCTTTCAATTCTTCTTGAATGTCCAAAACAATTCATATTAATTTCTCTTTAGAAAAATGTCTTAATTCATTTGGAGAAAACCATACCCTAAGCCTCGACTTCCTTCAATTTGTCCTTTTCATCAGTCTTGGCCATTATGCATAGATGTGAAGTTTCTCCTTGAGGTTGGTCTTCTTCTTCTTCTAAGTCTGAGTCTCCCCAGGCAGCTAGCATAGCCTTCTTTACATTATCCTTAGTAAAGTATGGCTTATAGACTCTGGAATCCTTAGATTTCTCCTTTCCTTTAGTCTTTCCTTTGTCACCTTCCTTGAATGGACAATCCGTAATGAAATAATCTTTTGAACATCTAAACAGGTAGTGTCTCAGGAACTTGCAGTCTTCTTGTTCCTATCAACTTCCTGTTGTTCATCATTTTCTTGAACCTCCTCACCAGCATTGCCATCTCATCCTCATAAAATTCTGAGTCATCCGAATCATGTGCCTTGAGAGCTAGGCTTTTGTTTTTGGAAATTTTAGTAATGGAACTCAGGTAAAGTTCAAGGGTTATCAGGGAACCTGCTAGCTTTTTCATATTGAACTTAGTGAAGTCCTTAGCTTCTTGCATCGCAGTAACCTTTGATCTCCAGCGTTCATCTTATGGTAGGCTCCTCAAGATCTTTCTTGCTTGTTTATCTATAGGAATGTGCTTGCCAAGGGAACCTAGTTCATTAATTATATTATTAAATCTTGTAAACATTTCTTCTATGGTTTCCTTAGACTGCATTTCAAACCTCTGATACCAATTGTTAGTTGAGATGAACACTACAAGAGAGGGGTGAATTGTAGTTGAGTTTGTATTACTACTTTTTGCGGAAATAAAATAAACTGTAAAGGAACATGCAAAAGCACATAGATTTTACGAGGAAACCTTCCAGGCCCAACTGGAAGTAAAACCTCGACCCTTCCTAAGGGATTTTCAAACTGAACCAATTCACTATAATAGGGCAAACACCAAGTTACAACCTATTATATAACAAACCATTACTCACAAGTTCCACAACAAACTTGCTACACAGTAGGACCCTATCCTACCCAATCTAAGTCCCAAACATAGATTAACTCGTACTCCCAAAGTACACTCTCAGCCTCACACTAAAAGCTAGCACTCTGTATGAAAAATATAAATTACACACTCACCCAAGAACCCAACTAGTACAAAATATATGACTCTAGGATATGCTAGGCAAGTTATGCACAAAACCCGAAACTAATATGACAAATAATAAGCTTGGCAAACTTTTACAATAAAGCACAATGATTTCTTCAAGCATAAACTCATAGAAAACTATGAAGTGAGATCCCCACTATTTATACGAGTCTAGCTCATATAGTAAATAGGGTTTTCAAAAGATAAAGATGTTAAATTACTAAATCTCAAAACACGGTTTTAAGTAAATCATTTTTAAAGAAAATATTTTTGGAAAACTAGATAAAGAGAGATTATTAAACAAAATAATATCATTCAAATAATCAATTTTTAAATAAATAAATCTTTTAGAAAATCTTTCCTTAAAAACTATCTTTTTATCTTTTCCGTTTTAATTAAATTTGCCAAGACTTTGTCACGCTTCTAATAGGTTTTGTGCAAACCCTACTTAGCATATTTAACAACAAATGTAGAAGATAAAATCTTAACTAAATAAGTTGTTGCGCTGTTTTATTCTGCACTCGAGGATTGCTTGGGCTTCACGCAGACCAGGATCATGTTCCTGCTAGGGAACTTAAATAGTTCTTGTTAGAGAACTAAGTTCTTGTTAGGGAAATCTTCTTTTATCTTGTTTAACCTTCTTAAAGTATTCCCTTCAGGTTCTTCTTAATCAAGGATACTCTTCCACCACCAAGGTCCACTTCACCTGTTATTAGTCAAACACTTAAGGAAATCTGTAGTTAAGTTTGCTTGAATTTAAGTCTATCATCATTAAAACTTTAAGCTTCAACATTCACCTTCTGGCATGTCAGACACTTTAATACAAACTCAGCCAGCTATCTCTTCATATTCGGCCACCAATAAACCTCTTTCAATTCCTTATACAACTTATCTCCCCTAGGGTGAACTGAATATTGTATATTATGACACTCCTCCATGACTTTTCTTCTTATATCCTCACACTTCTGTGGTATGAACTATATCTCCTTGTATCTCAGACTCCCATCTTCATGAATCTTGAATCCAGTCTCTACACCACTAGTTACTCGATCTCTGATTTTCTGCAACGACTTATCTTCCAACTGCTTCACTTTAATCTCCTCAAATATGGATGGTTGGATTGTCAGGGCACTCAGCAATCCCTCTAACTCTCCTTAACTAACAACCTCAAGGTTTAATCTTCTCATATCCTCACACAACTCATTGGCCACAATTAAATCATTGACATTATGACTTGAATTTCTGCTAAGAGCATCTGCAACAACATTCGCCTTTCCCTCGTGGTACCGGAAGTGGACATGGTAGTCCGTGAGAAACTCTAGCCATTGACGTTCTCGCATATTTAAGTTGTCTTGGGTGAAGATGTACTTCAGACTCTTATGATCTGTGAAGATCTTACAAGAGACGTCGTAAAGGTAGTGTCTCCAAATTTTCATGGCGAACACAACATCTGCAAGTTCCAAGTCATGCGTAGGGTAATTGACCTCATGTGTCTTCAATTGTCTCGATGCTTATGCGATCACCCTTCCATTCTGCTGCAGGACACATCCCAGACCATAATTTGAGGCATCACTATACACTTCGAATCGATCTCTCCAATCGGGCGATACTTGCACTGGTGTAGTGGTCAACTGCTCTTTGAGGGTTTGAAAAGCTGATTCACAACTTTCGTTCAACTCAAACTTGCTCTACTTCTTCATAAGGGTAGTCATGGGTCTTGCTATTCTCGAAAAATCTTTAACAAACCTTCTATAATACCCAACTAATCCCAAGAAACTACAAAAATCAGTCACCTTCTTAGGTGTAGGCCACTCACTAACCGCTTTGATCTTCGCAGGATCCACAGATACACCCTCCTTTGAAATGTCATGCCCCAAAAATGCAAATTTTTTAACCAGAACTCATACTTAGAAAACGTAGTATACATCTTGTTCTTCCTAAGAGTTTCAAGGGTAGTTCTCAAGTGCTGAGCATGTTCTTCCTCATTCCTTGAATACACCAAAATTTCATCAATGAACACAACTACAAAATTATCCAAGTACTCATCAAACACTCGGTTCATCAAGTCCATGAATATGGCTGGTGCATTGGTTAACCCAAAAGGCATGACTGTAAACTCATAATGCCCATACCGAGTTCTAAAGGAGGTCTTTGGAATGTCTTTATCTGCAACCTTCAACTGATGGTACCCCGACCTCAAATCGATCTTCAAAAACACACTTTCTCCTTTCAGCTGATCAAACAAGTCATCTATCCTAGGTAGAGGGTACTTATTCTTCACAGTCACATTATTCAACTCTTTGTAATCAATACATAGCCTCAAACTCCCATCCTTCTTTTTCACAAATAAAACAGGTGCTCCCCAAGGTAATGCACTGAGCCTAATGAACCCCTTGTCTAACAACTCCTGTAATTAAGCCTTTAGCTCACTCATCTCAATTGGTTCCATTCTATAAGGTGCTTTTAAGATAGGTGCAACTCCTAGAACTAAATCAATGTTAAACTCAACTTCGCTCTTAGGTGGCATTCTCGAAATCTCTTCTAGAAAGGCATCTTAAAACTCATTCACAATGTATACATCCTCCATCCGCCTAATCTCACTCATACTCAAATCTTGAACACAACAAAAGTACAACGAATACCCCTTATTCACTAGTTTCTTGACATTCAAAGTAGGAATAATCCCAAAACCCTTAGGCTTCCCTAAAAGTCTATAGGACACTGTCTTACCGTAAGGATCACTCAGCTAAACCCTCTGCATCTCACAGTCTATCTTGGCCTTGTATGAACTCAGCAAATCCATCCCCAGAATTACATCTAAGTCCCCTAGGTTAAACTCAATAAGATTCGATGGAAAGATAGCTTCCCATTTTTCAAAGGCAAGCCTTTGAATATCTTATTACAATGAACAAGTTTACCCATAGGCAGACTGACTAACTCATCAACATGACTAGATTCAGTTAAGTTTAACTTGCGCATAACAGAAGTAGAAATGAAAGAGTAAGCTGCTCCAGAGTTAAACAGAGTGTTGACAAATAGAAAAAGTACCAATAACTACATCCGAAGACCTCTCAGCTTCTCCCTTGCTCATCACATAAAAGCGCTCGGGAGTGTTGTTTTGGTAACCATTGTTGTTGTTGTTGTTGTTGTTGCCGTTGCTAGATCAGTTGTTGTTGTTGTTACCAATCCTAAACTTCCCATTCTGACCATTCCCCTTATTCCTTTGGTTGTTAAAATTGTTAGGCCTCTGTTGGATATTCCCATAATTCCTACCATTTCCTTGTTGTTTCTGCTTGGTGTAACACTCATATTCCATGTGCCCCTTTTTGTTGCAGAACCGGCAAGTCACCAAATTCCCATCACATTCTCTCCCAGGGTGGTTTCTCCTACACCTCTTACAGTGGTAGGTTCTCTCTCCATTATTAGCACTAGAAGAACTACTAACATTTTGGTTACCCCTATCAAACGAGTTCCCATTCTTAGGCCTCTTAAAGCTACTCTGGTTCTTAGATTCCCCAAAGTCTTTCCTTTTCTCCCCAGCCTTAGAACTCTCACCTACACTTTTAGAATTCAGATGGTACTGGTGTGCATCTCTTTTATATACCTTGTCGAGGGTTTTAAAAACTTTCCTGACTAGGTCTTTCTGTAACTAGTTAGTCAATCCATGCTCAAACCTTTGAGTCATCAATTCTTCAGTTGGTACAACCTCGGGAGCGAACCTAGAAAGGGTCATAAACTTATTATAATACTCAGAGATTGACATTTCCCCCATTTCCAGACTTATAAACTCCTGAGCCTTCTGTTTCATTAGGAATGGAGGGTAAAACTTATCCCTTAAAGAGGTCTTAAAAACTTCCCATCCAAAGTTGGGTTTGGCCCTAACGCTCACACCATCCTCCACCAGATATCAGCTTCATCCTTAAGATACATAGCGGCCTGGTCCACTTTCATACCCTTTGGACAGTTGAGTGCCACGACAACTTGTTAAACTCTTAAATCCAGCTTCCTAGGAAGGTAGGGTCAGCACCTCCCTTTAAAACTGGTGGCCTAAGTTGGGCCATCTTCTTAAACATCTCTCCTTGGGGGTCGGTTTGGTCACCCCAATTTTGGTTCAGATTTTCAGCCAACAAACGAATAGCATAAGCTAAGGCAGCATTCTTAGTCATTCTAGTTCTACGCCTGAAATAGAATAAATATGCACTCCATTTTAAATGAAACCCAAATACCATTCACACATATTCATTGAATCACCATGTTACATTTTGCCACATAAATTGGTTCAAAAGGGTACTTTGAGATTGCACCCCCTTATCCCAAGCAAAATCACACAATATAAACATGATTTATACACAGGATTAAATAAAGTTAAGAAAATAATTCCCCATCCCATGCCATTCTTACTAAATTTAATCATGACGAAGAAATTCTTCCCAAAAGTATATGATCACAAAAATTAAACTTGTTCTTACTCACGAATAAAAGTAAAATGAAGCTCTTAAAATAAAATAACAACTCTTATTATAACTTAAATAAAGGTATCAATCCCAAATAACAACTCTATAGCTCTGGCTACTTATTAAAATTCAATTATCTAAATTAAACTATAATGAGGTTCTAATAACCATTTTTAATGGAAAAATGCCTTATTCATGCTAACTTCACCCTAACAAGTATAATCCTCAAGGAATCACATTGCAGTTCTTATCTTTCTTCTCATTATAATTATTAACATCAAAATAAAGATCATTTTCATCATCTGAGTCTTCAATAATTATTACCTTGTAAAGCGAATTCGGATTTCTAGTAGCTCTCTTCCCAACATTTTGATCTTCAGGTGGTGGTTGTAGCCATTCAAGATCATCATCATCTAGAAATTCAATAAGAGTATACTCGTGAAAAATTCTATTGTAGGTTTTAATCTTATGCTTTTTATTCTTTGCTGTCTTAAACTCATATATGCTCTGGCAATCTTCCTCATCAAGTTTAGATGGTGTAGTAGTTCTTTACATAGCCTCCAGAGTATCATCACTTCGAGTATCATTCTCATCCTCATAAACGACTATAGGGTTGCTCCTAGTACAATTCATGCTTTCAGACGTGATTACTGAATCGCTCAGCTCCTTTGTACGTCAACCTAAAGCAATGAACATTCAAAAAGCATAACACAAGCACATCACCAAAAAAAACAAAAAATTTAATTAGAACACCAATTGCAACATGTTAAATAAAAAAAAAAAAAAAACACTTCATGTGCTAATTAAATGGAAAGATATGTATGAAATATGCATGCATTTCCTTCTTAAGTCTACCCAAAGCTCACCAAGTAGATAAAACAAACTTCAAAATTATTTTAAATAAAATGGTTTAAAACATTCATAGTTTAAAAAAAAAATAGTCTTTAAATTCAAAATCTTTACCCGTTAATTGGGCGCCTAAGACATACTAAGCTAGTGATAATTAAATCTAACCTAAGCTCTGATACCACATTGTAACTCCCCAATAATTCTCTCTTTAAACCTGTGAGGACCCTGAACAATATTCAAGAGAATTACTGGCGTGCTACCGCCACGTGTTCAAACGTTAAGGTTATATCATTAAATAGCAGCGAAAAAGCTAAATTAGTTATAAATAAGTTTTAAAACCAAGAACAAAAACCAAATTAAATCTTACAACTTGGAACCATTAAGGCCCTTATTCAAAACTCAAACGAATAGTAGTAGTATTAAAGTAAAATTAAGTTTAAATAACTTCAAAAATAAATAACAATAAAATAAGAAAAGTAACCAACACTCCACTCAAGATCCCCCCACCTAGATACAGATGTTGCATGCGTAAGAACCTTTGATTAATCTGCTCCCCAATATTACAAGTGTAAAAATTGGATCGTCCCAGGGTCATTGAAAGGCAAAGGCCATGACCAAAGAAAGACACATACAAAGCACGCAATCAGCAAAGCTGAGTACATACAAGCTGCAAAACATAATAAGAAATCTCTAGCATGCTACTAATAATCAATCATCACACATCATTAATTTGTAGACTCAACACATGACTCAACTATCAATTTACTAAGACTCCACTAGTTAAAAGTAATTAACTCATCATTTTTATTCAATTGATTAAGCAATAGACAAGGTTTTCCAACCCATGCTCCATTTGGAACATCAATAAAAGAAAACCCCATGCCTTATTTCGAAAACATCAATAAAACATCTAACGACCATGGGCACGACTCCATGACCGTAGCTAGTATGAGATCTCATCTAACTCCTAGTTTTGAAAAGTATTTGAAATAAAAGACTCGTAGATCAGATGGCCTCGAGAAAAGTGCACGGGTAATACCCCGTGTACCCCAACCCCTGGTTGTCATTACTCCAGATGTGCACAAATCTAGAGTTTAATTGCTCATCCATCTTGCACTTTACGTGATTTACAAGTTTAGACTTGGTAATGACTCATTCGCAAACAACACAATCAATACATTAACAATTCAATCAAGTAAAACAAACTTCCAAATTTCAATTCTTGACTTATTAGTGACAAGCAACATTTATTATTTAGTCCTTTAACTACATCGGTGTATAAACACCTTGAGTGCATAAGGCACCCCACAAACTTAACCTCATCATACAAGACTTAAATTCTTCCTTTACTTATTCTGTTTCCATAATCATGAATGAGTAATAAATTTATTTTTTCACCAATTACATACCTTTGCCTCTAAGCGCACCTTGCATAATTAGAGCATAAACAATACTTTTAATATAAAATAGTGCACATCTTACAAAATTCGTAATGTATAACCAAGCAATTTAACCCAGTCCTCCCTATACATGATACTAAGTTCTCAATCCGTCCTTAAACATGCACCTAAAAGTAAGGTTTTGTAACTCATACGTACCTTGTGTAAACAATTCGGTTGGCCGATTTAGAAACTAGAAGTCGCCTTCTACAAAGTCCTCTCCTAAACAAAACAATGAGAGATAAATCAATACCCACGCAAATAAATTTACCGCAGTACTAAACTACTTTATAACCTCTTAACCCATCAAAATAGATCTTTCAAATTGTTCCCATTAGTTAATAAAAATATAACATCCTAACTATAAGTTTACATGTTAAAATTATGAACATATAGTGTATAACATGAAATTCCAGAAGCTTTAAAGTAAGTAAATAAATCTGAATTCTTAGTTTAAGTATATAAAATAACCCCATAAGCATACTTACTTGAAATTATCATTATATAGCAAGTTAGTGTGTTAAAAACCCAAAAATATACCAAGTCAATGCAATTAGAAGCTTCAAATTAAAAGTATACAAAATCTGAAAATTTATACTTGAGGTTGTAATTTAAAGTTCAAAACTTTTTAATCATAACATACCCACAATAATGATTTATAGGCTTAGAAACATAAAAAACATGAAATTAGCATGACTTGCTCATTAAAATCAAAACTTTAATAATCTGAAAATTTATATATAATAAAAATAATTACACTTTGATGTAATTTAAACATAGTATAATTAGATAACTTAGTTAGTACGTTTTCAAACCCTAAGACATAAATTCAATGATTAAACCCTAAATTTTTTACATACACAAATTTGAAAATTTATAAAATACATTAAACATATCAAAACTCATAAATTTATAATCTATTATAAGCTATTATCAAACCACAATAATATAATTTAGAACAAAGTTTTAATTAAAGATTGAAACTTTAAACAAATAAAAAAAGAAAGAGAAGTGAGGAAAGAGGGAGGAAGGGTAGCTGTACTAGGCGGCTGATGGTGGTGCGGCGGCATTTGGTGAGGGGGCGGCGGTGCAGGCGTCGGCTGGAAGCAGCTTCCTGAGTTGTTGTTGTTTTTTTTTTTCTCTTGTGGTGTACGTGAGAGAGGAGAAGAGAAAGTGAGGGTTTCTTTTTTTTTTTTTCTGTTTTCACGTAAAAAAAGAGGAAGGCGAGGTTTTTTTTTTTATTTGGGTTTTTATTATCTAATTTCATTAGGAGTAGAATTTGGGTAGTTTGGGCTTGAATAGAAATCAACTTTGGGCCAATACTTAAAAAGGGACTTGTAAATTAGACTACAACTTAATGGTTTAGCTTGCTAGTAATGAAATCTTATTATTTTTATGTCAAATAATTCATATTATAAAATTAAAATAAAAAATATTTGTATAAATAATTAATAAATATATTAAAAATATGGGGGATTACACTTAGCCCCTATAAGCAATTTGACATGATTAAGTAATCGGTTTGATTACAATTGCAGTAAGTGGTCAACCTAACAAATGATCGTCTCACTTAGCTTAAAGCGCCTAAGTATTGGCTCATCGCAAGCACCGAAGTAATGGTTCATAAAGAAGCACAAGCGCCAAGGTACCGGCTCATTCACAAAAAACAACGAGGTACTGGCACAACAACAAGTTTAGCAAAGCATCTATACAAAAAATATTTAAGCAAAGTACTGAGGATCAACTAGCGGTAGTCTTCGATAATTTTCCTCAGAAGATTATCATTATGAAATTGAAGATAGCTACAAGAAGCAGTCTTCGACGATGTCCCAAGGTAAATAGGAGATTGTCTATAGCGACGAGGTACAACCACAACTTTGAAGATAGCTACAAGCAGCAGTCTTTGCCCGAAGAAGAGAGGAGAGTCTATAGCGGCGAGGCACGGCCGCGGCGAGGCACTGCCACAACCCTTGAAGATGGCGAGGCACAATCACCTTCGACGATGTTCCCTAAGATGTGGAGGATTGTCATAAAAAATTGAAGATGGTTGCAAGCAACGATCTTTGACGATTGCATTCCCGAGGCACTGTGCAGGTCGTCACAAAAAAAAATGCAACAAAAATTGGTTACTTTAGAGACGTGTGCTCGACGGTGCAAGATTCGTGTTTCTAACTCTTTTATCTATTTAACTAACGCTAGTTTGTAGGTATCGGCGTTACAAGAACGATTTAGGATCGCGGAATGTTTTGAAACATTCTTTGTCCCTATTGCTACTTTGACTTTTGTTTACAAAACTTGCGTTTCTCCAAACTCAGTCAAAGTGGGGGCTTCTGTAGACACCCAAATGTGTCTCCCCAAAACCAAACCCAGTGATGAATACCTTTCACGTCATTGATTATCGAACGAAGTGAAAGTGTGAAAAGTCTAGTGATGCGGTTGTTTTTATTAAAATATTTCTCTTTATACTCTATTTAGGAAAATATCATGTACAATTAAGTTTGGTACATGATAAGGGTCCAATTATAGTGTAGTTGTATCGGGCTGGAAAAGAGCTTTCCAATGATATATTATAAGACCAATTCCGATGAATAATGAGGAAGTTATGACCATAATACTAAATTGGGCCCGAAATGAATTTTATATGCGGCCCGATGATCTAGAGGAAGGCCTATTAATTATTATTCCTAAAGTTATAAGGATTGATTTTAATCTTCTAGAAGATCTACAAGGTTCTTTTAAATTCTAATGGAATTAGGATTGATAATTATATTTTAAAGAATTTTATTTGGAATAAAATAAGTATTTTATGATAAACCTGATTTTAATTTGATAAACACAGAATATTCTGCTTAATCATATTAAGAAGAGGATTCTGCGTGCAAAGCGCGTTTTATTTCTAACTTAGCGCAAGACGACAAGCCTATCGCCTGACGCTAATAGCTGTCGCCTGGCGCTGGTGCCTGTCGTCTGGCGCTAACTCCTATCGTTCGCGAGATGGGATATTTTATTCTGAATGGGACTTCACTAGTAGAAAAAGTGCTATTTGTAACTGGCGAAATTGACTTTTCGTAACTGGCATTGTTGGTTGCGAATGCCACCGCTACAACTAGTGAAAATTATTCATAACCGGCTAATGTTAGTTACAAATACTGTACTATTCATAAATGGCTTACCCTAACGCCAGTAACAAAAAGTCTATTTTCCAAGGTAGAAAGCATACTATTTGTAACTGGCATTAAGTTACGCCAGTTACAATTTGGGTATTATTAGTAACTGGCAAATCTTAACGCCGGTTACAAGTATTAATTTTTTTTTTTTTAAATACTATTAGTAAATAGCATTACATAGCATGGAAAATTCAGATAGAAATGGAAAAAATCAGGTTCGTAATGTAGTGAAATTGCAAATGCTCAATAACTTATCCAGCTTCACACAAACCATTTCTAAAAACAACTCAAGTATAGCTAAGAGGTTGGCTGACCTGATGTAGTATCCAAAGAGCAATTCCAACAAACTCTACAATAATCCCCATATATCTCTCAGTCCAAGTAGTAGCATCATCTGACGCTTCAACATTGACAACAGGGGCACTTTCAACCAAACTGTAGCTCAATAAAAGATCAAGACTCTTCTAATACTCATCTATTCACCTTAATTTTTTTGGAAGATTAAGTTCTGAAAACAGAAAATTAAACCTAATTTAGCATTGAACATGCAGGAATCAAATTTCAATTGTAAAAAAATTATATAAAATTGGGATCACATCCAATACTGTATATGTTAAAAACTAGAGCAATTTTATTTGAAGCCTGAAATAACTAAAGTCAGAAGCTGTTAGTTAATTTGTTTCCCTGAAAGTGATAATTAGTCGAATTCCTCATAGAAGTATAAAAACAAGCACACAATACATCATATTTAAGGATTTTCGCAGAAATGAAGAGCTATACCAAATCTTCCAGCCCTGCAACAACGACGACACCACAATTCCCCGCGTACTAAGGCAAAAACCCTAGAATTCGTAATAACTATTTTTTCATATAGTCGCTCAAAATTAATCAAAAATACATAATTTAGGTGGAGATTGAGAGCATACCATGATGATAATCTTCGATGAATGAGTTTTGGAAAAGCATTAGAGGGGTTATATTTGGAGCAGCATTAGTTGAGTTTCACAGCGGGTGTGTGTAAAAATGGGAAAAAAAGAATAGGAATGAAGAATTTAGTGTAGAGGAGTGAAAGGCTACATCTAATAAAACAAAAAATTATAAAATTACAAAAAAAAATAAAAAAAGAAGTGCGTGCTAGGCTGCTAGCAAATAGCAATCTAGCATTAGTAACCGACGTTAATGAAGCCCATTACAAGTAATACAGTCAATAAAGTTTGACTTACTACTTGTAACTAGCCTTTTTTAGGTTCCTTACTAATACTTAATCAGTCTATCCTTAACCTACTATTTGTAACTGACCTTAGTCATGTTAGTTACGATTTCAAATATATTTGTAGCCTGCATAATCTGTGTCAGTTACTAATACTTTTGTAGTAACTAGCATAATATATGCCAGTTACAAATAGGGCGTTACAAATAGCACTTTTTCTACTAGTGTTGATTTCTTTTCGATTGGTTTTTGGACTATTTTTCTATATATGGGGGTCGTATCTCCCCCTCTTTATTCATTCACAATCATCATCTATATCTATTCTCTCTCTCTAAAAGCTAGAAGCTTATTCTCTCTCTTTATTCTCTTTCTAAACCTTCCCTTTTACAAAATTCTACATTCATTAGTTCTAGATACACCTAGCCAAGTTAAAACTTGTTTTCGCCCTAGACGTGAAAGGTTGATAATTTCTTAGGGTTTGGTCCCAAATCTCTATTTCAATTATTTAATTTACTTATTTTCCTTGAAGTTAATAATGTGTGTATTTTGTTATTATAAAGAAATATGAGGCATCCAAGTAAGTAATTTAATTGTTATTTTGATATAGAAATCATGTTTTAATTATTTTAATTCCTAGTATCATATTTAGGGTAATAACTAATATTTCTAATATCATGCATGTTTCTATGATGCTTCCTATTCTTTCCTTCTATCATATTAGTATCATGTTAGGGATGAAGCTTTGATCTTTATTGCTTTGTGACATGCTAGAGTTTATTATTAATATTGTTGGTATCATGCCTAGGATCTTGATATTATTTTTATGCTTTATTGAGAATAATTAATATGATGATGATGATTGTGGTTTGTTGTTGCTTGATTTTATTGTTATTGCTTGATAACGCCTTTTATGCATGTTTAAAGGGAATTTGTACTTGTAATCACGCTTAATAAGTTAATTGATAATTTTGTTTAGGCTAATATGATTATAATTCAAGTGATCGTAAATAATAGGTTTGTTGTGCATTAAATTCAACTAACATAGATTAAATAGGTTTAGGGTTAACCAACATAGAAGAATAAAGGAGAGGCCTATTTTTAGTGCAAGTTCAATCTCTTTTAGGTAGGATTTGTACCTTTATCCCTGAATATCCAGTCAAGGTTCCAGACCACTATGGAGTTAGCAATCTCATGGATCGTGAAGGGGTGTAACCTTCACCTTGTGAACGGTTTACAAGTTCCTAAAACTTGTTGGCAACTCTTTTACTCTAGCTTCCTTCATTTTGGAAGCCACCAGGACTAAGTGTATGATCACAGTGGGGCTCAAGTGTGGGATGCTTGAAATATTCCCTACAATCAGTAACTTCAAGGATAATAAAACAATAATTAAAAACAAATTAAATAAAGTTAATTTGGTGTCAAACCCTCAAACAGTTCTACCTTTCACGCCTTGATTTAAGGATGGAACCTCGGGTAAAGTATGAACTCCTTGGAGTGCTTAAGGGAAGTATTGTGAGAGAATAGGGTAGGCTAATGTTTAGGCTAGAACATAAAAGAGAGCATAGAAAATTATTTGATGCCCCGAACTGAAGAAAGGAGGGGAGTATTTATAGAGGAAATGAATACAAGGAAGCACGAATCCCTAGAGTTGCAGATAAACCCTATTTTGGGCTCCGTGGCACGGCATGTCTGTCGCGACACAGCAACGGGCACCGTGTCACAGTATTATCTACCATGGCACGACATAAAGTTTTGCCCTAAATACGTTCAAATTGATAAAGCAAGTGAAGAGTTGTACGCGGAGAGTACGTAGAAAAATCCCGTGTCACGGTATGTGTACCATGGCACGGCAAAGGATACCACGCCTAACAAAGGTAAAACTAGGTTATTGACTAATCCTCTCCTCTAAGTCAAACTAAATTTATAAACACTTAACATACCTAAATACAAGTATAGAGGTAAGTCAAGGGTTAAACCCAAAGGAACGGTTATGTTCAAATTCTTTCAATTTAGGTCCCTAAACTAGGTCGAAGCCAAAGGTAAAGAGGTAACACTAGTAACTAACAAAACAAACAACCAAACAAATAAAGCACTAGGAATGGGGATAAAAAAGTAATCATGACAATTGCAACAACTTGGGACAAACAAGCAAATCAATAATTGTGAAGACTAATGATAAGAGCTATCAATTGGATTCAAAGAGCTATCTCCTAATCGTTAAGCTAGATGTCTCTAGGAATATCAAACTAAGATAATCACAATCCAAACCAATCGATAATTGCAATTCCTAAATCAATGTGCCGTGTCATTAACAATTACAATGTAATCTAGCATAATTCCCAAGGCTTAATCAAATTACACATTTTCAAACTTACATTAATCACTTTAATCTCAACAACCAATAAACACAATTCCCAAATCAATCACAATAAATCAATCATACAAGTTTCACCCAATCCCTAGTTAAACAACTACTCATGAATCATCATCTATTAACAAACAATATCAACAAAATATGAGAACAATAACACTAATGAAGATCAAACATAAAAATCAAACAAAACAAACATGAAATTAAACAAAGCAATAAAATGAGATAGAGTTAGAAATCCTCATTGATTGATTATGGAGATATTCAATACAATTGTGACCTTGAATCTCCAATCTCTCAAATCCCCAATTAAATTCCTCACTTTCTCTCTATAAATTTATTCTTAAAACTAACCCTAGATCTAGAGAGATAACCTCTCAACTAAGCTAAAATTATGATCAAAATTATTTCTAAAAACTTCTTACAAAAATCGGCTGAAAAAGGGTATTTATAAGAGGTTCAAAAAAGAAATCGAGCGAAGCCGAAAACTAGGGAGGAGCGCCCACGCACGAGCCACGCTTTCCCACACACAGGGGTTACATGCCCACGCTCTTCTGGGTTTCTTCTGACTTTCTCATAGCTTCGTGCATTTTCAATTAGGGTCTTCGAGTGCACGCATATGATGATGATAGAAACTATGCATGGAAGACTCAAATGGAATCCACTATGGATTCAACACCACCTTTCATGAGAGCACGACTTGAGAGCGCAAGAGTTAGAACTTAGAGCATCCACTTCCTTGCATCTAGAGCTTTCCCAATGCTATGAGCTTACACCAAAAGCATCTTCCAACTTAGAATACCACCAATATTGAGACCCTAACCTTGTTTAATACCCACAACCATGAAAAGAGAAGAAATAAAGGAGAAAACACAAGAAACCATAAAAACACAAAATAAGAGAGAAAAGGGAAATAAAGAGAAAATGCATAAAACCAATAATTTATTAAGAAAGAAAGATATGAAGGTAAAAACAACCTAAATAATTATCAAATGTTTGCCATAAATGGAACTGATCAAATTTTCCCAAGCTTAACCTTTGCTTGTCGTTGAGAAAAACAAAAACATGTAAGGGAAAAATGATGAGCTTATTCAAACAAACCAAAAAAAGAAGAAGAAAATATACAAGAATATACACTAACTCACTTTCGTCGGAATCACGGTCAATTTTAGCAACTAAAGACAAGCCTTTTAAACCCCTAGATCATCCTAGCACTTCTATTTCTTTATGAACCATATCATGCAAGAGAGTTGTAGCTGTTCTTTGGTATGTATCTCCTGCATTTTTTAAGACCAAATTACATGATAATATAGAAATATATATGCACACAAGGAGTAATAAAGCATGTCTTTCCTTCGTCTTCTTTTTCCATTAGGATTTGGTTGTAACCTGCGTATCCATCCATAAAGGATAACATCACATGTTCAGCCGTGTTATCTACCAAAATGACGATATGAGGTAGAGGCGTGCATCCTTTTTAGGGACTGGGACAATGTTCGCTACCCATTCTAGGGTAATTACATACACGAATGAAACCTGTGTCTAATTGCTTTGTACTTCTTCTTTCGTTTTCAAAGTGACATCAGGTTTCATTCGTCGAAGTTTTTGTTTTATTAGTTTAGAGGTAGATTTTAAGGGAATGGTATGTTCCGCAATTTCCCTATCTATTCCAAGCATGTCCTTGTATGACCAAGAAAACACGTCTTTGAATCCTTTGAGTCCAGATTTAAGGTTAAGCCAATTTTGACTTCCTTTATGTTCTCCTTTGTTCCTATATTGATTGTTTCAGTTTCTTCAATTACAAGACACTTTTGTTCTTGTCCATTCATTATTTCAACCAGTTTGTTGATGATATCACCATCATTAGATTGATTATTATAGCATTCAAAAGATTTAAGAGAAGGCATATACTCAGAAATAGAGCTCATATTATTGAAATCAAAAGAAAGTACATCAAGAGGAGAATCCTTTTTGGGATCCTCTTCCTTAGAACTAGAAAATAAAGACTCAGTAATGGCCACAAGGCCTAAATTTTCAGCTTCCTTAAAATCTAGACTAGACTCATCATCAAATTCTTCAAACATCTCCCTTTCCCCTGTGGTGATCTACAGCTTATCACCTTTATGGTTAATCCACTTGAAAGTCTTCCCCCCTCCATGCTCAAAAATTTTCCTAAAAGGGGTGATCAACGAGGTTGGGTCAAAAGCTTCATCTTGGATGGCATTTTGATTAGTCATTGTAGCAACATGGTTTTGCTCTAGTCCAAACAGCAAGTTAAATGCATGCCTATCATAGCATCCTAGAGTTGAGTGTTTTAATTGAACAATTATGAAATCGTCATTCAAGAAGTAGTAGTCATGGAATATTTTGAATACAAGCTTCTTGATAGCTTCAAGAACTAATGGTTCTGGAAAGTCATAGCATGGGTAATCTTTTCCCTCCCTAACAAATTGACCGTTAAGGGTTTGATTGTAGGATGGGAGTAAAAAGATTATTCCAATATTAATTTTAATTTTATTATATTTGTTGATCACCATATTTCATATTTAAAGGGAATATGTAATTGAAATCACGATTAATAAGATAATTTGGACAACCGGTTTAGGTTCCTTTTTCATCTTGTTATTGAATTAAAGTAATCACAATATTTTAGAATTATATTATGTGTTGCATTAATATTAAACCAATTTA